CAGCTCACAGCAACCTCAAAATCTTAATCTCTTGCCTCAGCCTCCCAAGTAGCTAGCTGGGACTATAGGCACCTGCCACAACACCCAGCTATACTTTTTTTTGTAGTTGTCATTGTTGTTTAGCAGGCTGAGGCCGGGTTCAAACCCACCAGCCAGTGTATGTGGCTAGCGCCCTAAGGACTAAGCTATGGGTCCCGAGCCAGGTTATGTTATTTTAATGTAAATACTTGGTAACCAATTCAGGAACTGTTTATTTTGTTTTGCTTTTGCTTTTTTAATTTTTGTTTTGAGACAGGGTCTTGCTCAACTGCCTAGGCTACATTGCAGTGGTGTCAGTAAAAAGTATAACTTACTAGCCGCTCAAATCTTGGCAAAGTGTTTTTTTTGTAGAGACAAGAGTCTCACTTTATCGCCCTCAGTAGAGTGATGTGGTGTCACATAGTTCATAGCAACCTCCAACTCCTGGGCTTAGGCGATTCTCTCGCTTCAGTCTCCCAGTAGCTGGGACTACAGGCGCCTTCCACAATGCTAGGGTATTTTTTTGTTGCAGTGTGGCTAGGGCTGGATTTGAACCAGCCACCCTCAGTATATGGAGCTGGTGCCCTACCCACTGAGCCACAGGCGCCGCCCACTGGCAAAGTTTTTTTTTTTAGTGTATTGCCCCAGAATAAGAAAGCCAGTTACTCAAAAGACTAGATTTTTTTCTTTTGAGACCCAGTCTCACCCCCTCTCCCACAAAAGAGCCATGGTGTCATAGCTGACAGCAACCTCAGACTCTTGGGCTTAAGCAACTTTCTTACCTCAGCCTCCTGAGTAGCTGGGACTACAGGCGCCCCCTATAACACCTAGCTATTTTTAGAGAGGGGGTCTCGCTCTAGCTCAGGCTGGTCTTGAACTTGGTGGTCCCAGTCTCCCAGAGTGCTGCGATTACAGGCGTGAGCCACCACACCCAGCCTCTAAAGACTAGATTAAAAATTATTTTTAATTTTTAAATGTATGATTTCTTTCTTTCTTTTTTTTCTTTGTTTGAGACAGAGCCTCAAGCTGTCCTCCTGGCTAGAGTGCTATGGCATCACAGCTCACAACAACCTCCAACTCCTGGGCTCAAGCGAGTCTCCTGCCTCTGCCTCCCAAGTAGCTAGGACCACAGGCGCCCACCACAATGCCTGGCCATTTTTTGGTTGCAGCCATCATTGTTGTTTGGCAGGCCCGGGCTGGATTCGAACCCACCACCTTAGGTGTATGTGGCTGGCGCCTTAGCCACTTGAGCCACAGGCTCCAAGCCAAATGTATGATTTCTGAGAGGTTCTGGCACACAATGGGATAAGGATCTGCGAGAAATGAAAGGAGTCCAGTTCAGGGACAAGGAAAGACTTTAACAGAGTTAAAGTGAACAGATTCACTAATGACAGATGAAACCACTGCTAATGTGCCTGTACTGATTCTTGGGAATAAGACTAACAGACCTAAAGCCATCAGTGAAGAGAGATTACAAGAGATGTTTGGCTTATATAGTCAGACAACAAGAAAGGGCAGTGTATCTCTGAAAGCATTAAATGCCCGACCCTTGGAAGTTTTTATGTGCAGTGTGCTCAAAAGACAAGATTCTGGAGAGGGCTTCCATTGGATGGCGCAGTACACTGACACCAACCCGTACTGGCTCCAAGTCTCAGCATTCAGGCCTACTAGATTTTATCACTCAACATGCATAACTTGAATTCCATACATTTTTGTTGCTTATAAATGTTTTTTAGATTATTAATATATCAACTTAATTTGAGAATTGAAAACTGATTCAAGTAAATTTGAATATCACATATATCTATTAGCTTTCTAATTCCATAAAATAATTCATTTTTACAGTTTAATCTGACATTACCCAAGCACCATTTATAAAAACAATTTTCCAGCAGTACATTTGAAGCACTTTTTAATAACATGAAACTATAGATATTGACCATATTTAAAAGCTCATCAGGTTAAATTTTTCATGTACTTTTTTGGAACTAGTTTTTAAGTTTTAGATGTAGGCCCACCTATATTAAGTGTACAGTTAATAATTAGCTTATCAATAATTGCATGATGCCTTATAGTTTCCAATAATATTTTTTCGTATGCAAGCATCATGCAATAAAACAAACTCTAATGTTTGGCAAAAAAAAAAAAAAAAAAAAGGGAAAAAGGAGAATGGAGACTGACTAGGTGTCAGGTCAGCTCTTACAGTTGTAAAAAGATTTCTGTTAGCCTTATCAGTATAGCTGACATGGGGTCTCTCTGTCTCACTCTCCTGCTGCTACATTCCAGACTAGGCAACAGTGCAAGACTCTGACTCTAAATATAAAAATAAAATAAAATAAAATAAAACAGGGTAGCATCTATGGCTCAAAGGAGTAGGGCACCAGGCCCATATACCAGAGGTGGTGGGTTCAAACCAGGACCCATGTAAAAACTGTAAAGATAATAATAATAATAAGATAAAACAATGTTATAAAGACCAAATAAAAAAGTGGACAAAGGACATTAACTGGCACTTATCAGAAAAGAAACAGGAATGGATTAAACGTATGAATATGTGTTCAACCTCACTCATAAAAATACTGTAAATTAAGATCATACTGAGATACTATTTTCATTAGCAAAGATTAAAAAGCTGATAGCATTGTAACAAAAGTGTGAGAAAACAGGTACTTTAAGGTGTTGCTGGTACAAAGTATAAATCAAGTATATATACACCAAAATGAGAAAGGTACCAGTCCTGATTCAGCAACTCTACTTCTAGGAACTCACCTTATAGACATGCTGGCATTTATACAAAGGAACCCATACAGAATGCTAATTTACACATTGTTTTATTTACTTGCGACAGAGTCTCACTATATTGCCCTTGGTAGAGCCACGAGTTCAATCACTTAAACTCTTGGGCTTAAGCGATTCTCCTGCCTCAGCTTCTCAAGTAGCCGGGACTAGAGGCATCTGCCACAATGTCTGGCTGTTTTTTTGTTGTGGTGTCATTGTTGATTAGCAGGCCTGGGCTGGGTTCAAACCCACCAGCCCCAGTGTATGTGGCCTGTATGCTAACCACTGAGCAACAGGCACTGAGCCATATATATTGTTTTAGAAGAAAATTAAAGTTGGCAACACTGTAAATATGTGTCAGTGTGGTGGTACTGATTAATAGTACTTCACATAAAACAGTACTTTATGTATCTACTGAAAGGAATGAGAGTACTTTTTAAAAACTCTTATGAGGGGTGGACCCTATGGCTCAAAGAAGTAGGGTGCTGGCCCCATATGCTGAAGGTGGCAGGTTCAAACCCAGCTGCCAGCCAAAAACTACCAAAAATAAATAAATAAATAAATAAAATAAAAACTCTTATGAGGTGGCCATGCCTGTGGCTCAAAGAAGTAAGGTGCTGGCCCTATATGCTGTAGGTGGTGGGTTCAAACCCAGCCCCAGTCAAAAATTGCAAAAAAAAAAAAAAAACAACGCAAAACAAACAAAAAAATCTCTTATGAGGCTGGGTGCAATGGTTCACGACTGTTATCCCATCACTTTGGGAGTCCAACGCAGGTGGATTGCCTGAGCTCAGGAGTTCGAGACCAGTCTGAGCAAGGGTGAGACCCTGTCCCTACAAACTAGCTGGGTGTCGTGGCGGGCACCTATAGTCCCAGCTACTTGGGAGGCTAAGGCAAGAGAATCACTTGGGCCCAGGGGTTTGAGATTTCTGCAAACTATGATAACGCAGTTAACTCCACAGTAGATAACTAAGGAGACTCTGTCTCGAAAACTAAATAAATAAGGACTCTAATGAATGGTCTCTGTTTTAGGAAAAACTCTCCTCAAACTGTGCTTTCAACAAGAACACAGAAGACTTCTGTGACCAAACATCACACACCAACCAGCAGACTTCAGCTGGGTGTCCTGTCTTCTAATTCAATTCCAACATTACCTTTCTTTTTTTTTTTTTTTGAGACAGAGCCTCAAGCTGTCCCCCTGGGTAGAGTGCCATGGCATCACATGGTTGCTCATAGCAACCTCCAACTCCTGGGCTCAAGCTATTCTCCTACTTCTGCCTCCCAAGTAGCTGGGACTACAGGGGCCACCACAAGGCCCAACTATTTTTTGGTTGCAGTCGTCATTGTTGTTTGGTGGCCCGGGCTGGATTCAAACCCACCACCTTAGGTGTATGTGGCTGGCGCCTTAGCCACTTGAGCCACAGGCATCACGCCAACATTACCTTTCCAGAGATAGTATCAGGTCCCATTAGTTGAGGGCTCCGTCCCTATAATTGACCCTCTTTTCCAGCAATTGTAAGTCCAGGCCTCCAGAACTTCTAACAGATTGGCTTCAAAATGGGATTCCCGTGATCCCCTCTTTGTAGTCAATCAATTTGCTGAAGCAGCTCATAGAACTCAGGGAAACATTTACTTAGCTTACTGATTTATCATAAAGATATTACAAAAGGCTATGGATAAAGAAATGCACTGGGTAAAGTCTAGGGGAATGCTAGTCTCCAGGAACCTTCAGAGTACAGGGTGGAACCCTCTCTGGAATGAGGATCTTATGACCCACAATTGGAAAGGCAGGGGAAGCCAGAGAAATTCTATTGCTGAGGTCTGCTCCTGAGGCCTAAAGAGCCCCAAGATTATAAAAAGGACTATGGGAATTCTGAGCCATACAAAAACCACATATACACGTGTGTGTGTGTGTGTATAAATATATAAAAAATACCACAGTCTCCAAGACATATAAAGTTAAAGTAAGATCAGGAAAACTGTGCAGAGTATATTACCAATTGTGTAAGAGGGGGGTAGAAATATACATCTTCTTTATAATGTTTCAAATATTTCTGAAATGACAAAGAAGAAACTAGGAATATTCTTTGCCTCTAGGGCAGGGAAGTAAGCGGTTGAGGCTTACAGTTTAAATATTAAGGCTTCTTTTGAGGTAATAAATTTTAGTACGTAACCTGAACAAAAAATTTTAAAGCAGCACTTGCCTTTTTTCCTTTTGAGGTTTCAGAATCCTCATCTTCATCTACATTGAGTAGATTTGCCCCACTACATAGAAAATAAAGGGGGAAAAAACCTTAGTAATAATCACAATCCATACATTAAATTCAGAAGTTTATCATCTATGCTCACCTACTTCAGGGAAAGGGTCAAAAAAGCAAACTTTTAGGCTTGCAAGCCCTGTGGTCTCCATAGCAACTACTCATCTTTGCCACTATCGTATGAAAGCACCCATAAACTATACGTGTGCTTATGTTCTAATAAAAAGTATTAATAAAATCAGGTAGCAGGAAGATCAAGCCCATGGGCCATAGTCCTCTGATGCTGCCTACCACGAATGAACACACACTTCTGACTTCTGTTTTTTAACTATGGATTTTATTTATTCTCATTTTCCCATTCTATTGTCGACTGAAAATAACAGAAGACAGAGAAAACAGTGGAGGAGAAACAAACTGGCAAGAGAAAAAAGCCTTAACTAGTCAAAAGAAAATAAATCCAATGGTACTGTCATAATAGATTAATTATATCTCCACCATTCTTGGAAATATCAACACTTTGCTGAGAATAGCTCGCCTAAGATTATCAAAGATCACACTAATATATCTATTAACAGTCCATATTAATGTCTATATATTAAAAAAACTGAAATCCCTTAGGACCCATGATGAACCAAAGAGAACATTTCATAAATGAAATACACTAGACAGCTAGCAGTTAAAAGACAATTTTTTAGCAATAGTTATGGCAAGAAAATACAAGTCAAATATACCTTTTTGAAGACAACTCTGCTAAGGTATTTATAGTAAAATTCTAGCTACTTATAAGAAAAATATAAATGTTTTATTTCATTACTGTTTATATACATCCCAACTTAATATTAAAAATTCTCTTTTAAACACTGAACAAAAATGTTCCAAATGTGATATACTTTCTATTTAGCTTAATTGTAGATTTAATTTTAATTTTTAAAAACTATATAAATGCTGAATGTAATAAAAATTATTTTATATTAAAAAATAATCAGGGCTCGGCACCTATAGCTCAACCGGCTAAGGCGCCAGCCACGTACACCTAAGGTGGTGGGTTCGAATCCTCAGCCCGGACCCGCCAAACAACGATGGCTGCAACCAAAAAAAAAAATAGCC